TGTCTCTTGAGAGGGTGTCAGTGAGCTCTGCCAGCCATGCACTACAGGTAATGGAGTACACAGAAGTCTTTTTCCATTAACATTGTTGGGTTTATGCATTGAAGATTTTGGCAGGAACCGATTCTGATACAGTCTAACATTTAGTTTTTGTCTAGGTTAATACAACATTGGAGTAGATTGTCACTGAGCATTGAAAAAGTTTAAAGACTGTTGTCTGAAAGTAATTATCCACTGATGTGGATTACAAAATTAATTGCTTCTAAGTAGAAAATTAGAATTTATCAGCAAATTAATATTTTAAGGTGTCTGGATACTCACAGCTGTAGCTAGTTACAAGCCAGTAAGCTTGTTTGCAGATAAAGTAACAGAGTGGTTAATAAAAGACCCAGAAAATGAAATCTGGAAAACCAATTTCTGCCATTTGTCATTTCCCAGGTATGTGAGGTTGCCTGAAGGAGCTGGCCTTTTCTGGCCCCTTGCTACAGAGAGATTTTTAATCTGTTTTGATAATTTAATCTTTTTGATCCTGGCTACACTCTCAATCATTTTCAAAATTACTGTACTACAAGTAATAGTTGTGTTATTGGAGGAAGCAAAAGGACTGTGTGCAGGTTTTCCCATTTCATGTCATGTGCATTTACTACAAGGGCACCAAACTCTTAAGCCTATATATAACTTTGTATGGTTATGTATTATTTATAATTAATGTAAACTATGCATTGTAAGTTGCAACTTGAGAAAAGATGCTTAAGCCGCCTAAATGTTTGAGGAGAGGCTTCTTTTTTCATGAAACATTTGTCCTGTATCTCCTTCAGGAACTTCTGCTGATATTCAGTGTTCCAGTAATCAAGTGTCACTGGGAGTCAGTGGGTGTTGATGGCACTGTGGCTAACAGAAGTCACCAGAGTAGACTCAGTCATGACAAGAGTGTCCTCATACCTGTGTAACGTGTTGTGCACAAGAGATGCATTATTTTTTACTGTATCAGCTTAAAACACTACTTTTCTGTTACAACTTTGTCCACTCCAGGAGTGCAGTGATGATGTAGTAGATCAGTGCACCTGGTGTAAACACTGAAGCCCAATCTTATTTTGAAAAGATGGCTATGCTGACACATCTACTGTGTGCACAGGTACAGGAGCAAATAGGTTGTACAGAAGAGGCTTTTTATTCTAGCAGGAA